TCATTGAAAGAAGTAGGAGCCAAACGTAACAAGTACTTTGGTGGCATCAGGATCACATTGCCTGCATTGGTCCTAATTTCTCAACTTCACTGTTTTTGCAATCATATTCCATTCTTTGAAACAGTAGCAGAAACCACCAGAAGCAAGAACACTGTATACTGGTTCATTTCTAGAATCATCTTCAGCTACCTTTCTGATATGGTCAAAGCTCGCCTGCCTAGGGATGGTAGTGTCCACAATGGGCTGGGCTCTCCCAATGAATTAGCAACCAAGATGGTCTCTTACAGACATGGTCACAGGCCAATCTGTTCTGAACAATTCCTCAACTGAGGTTCCCTCTTTCAAGATGTGTCAAGCTTAGTTAATACAATATGTATCTAGTGTGTATACACATAGGTACGAGTACATTTGCTTGTTTCTGTGCACACACAGAGGCCAGAGGAAGATGCTCAGTGCCCTGCTCTGTCACCATAAACCTATTCCTTTGAGTTATGGTCTTTGCTAGACCTAGAGTGAGGCTGCAGACCTGCAAGTCTCAGGCATCTTGTTATATCCCCTACAATGCCAGGGTTACAGAAGAACATGAATCACCTTTTATCTGAACTCTAGCCTCCTGATTGCTCCTTAAAGACTCACCCATCCCTAGCTCAGTCCACAAGATCAACTAACCACTGAGAATGATGTGTCAGTAATCTCACAGTGCAGGCAATGGAAAGTGGATATGTGACTTATGAATGGTTGACCAGAGCCAGCCCTGACATTCACAGGAACTAAAGAGTTGATGTTCCTGTTTCTGTGACAGTGAGTTTGGGGCTGTTGAAATCTGTCTTTTGCCTTAGAATGTCATCCCCCAAAACAGGGAAGCTGAGAGATGGAAGGAAAAACAGACACTGTAGTACTGATGTGGTTGCCTGATCCACAGGGAAAAAAATGAGGCTGATGAATTACTAAATTTATTATCTATTGCTTAAAGTTCACATTGATCATATCAATGTCTTCTTATTTCTTGTCTGTGTCCCCAATAGATTTTAAATGCCTTGAGATCACAAAGCCCTGCCCTGTTAGCTAGCAATAACAAGTGCTTACTAAATATATCTATGAGGATTCAAAATCTATACTTAAAAATCATACAACTAGATATCTATATATTGGTAACAAGAAGGTTTTAGGAGAAGCTAAAATTTTAAAAACTAAAAAGATACTTATTTTGTACCCAATGCATAGAAATATTAGTTTTTAAAATAATATGACTCCAGGTTTTAGAATGATCAAATATCTATACGTATGGGCAGGAAGTTAGAAACTACTTCATTTAAAGATATCTAAGAAAGACTTTGCACTAATATAATTTTAAGAAAAATAGCATCTTCTACTTTAATTGAAGTTATTGGCATTTAAATTCAGATGATCAGGAAGCCTACACAAAGACTCACAATTTAGTTTCTATTATGCCTACTCCAAAATTAGTAGAAAATAAATATATATTAATATGTGATAATGTAGCACACAACTTCACTGTGCTAGTCTAATTTTTGTTGCTGTGATAAAAATACCTTGACTAAAGGCAACTTAGGGGAAAGGGAGTGACTTTAACTCTTGATCACTGGTTGCTGCTCCTCAGAGCAGGAAGGTTAAGGTCAGAGGAAGGCAAATCAGTCACATCACACCCAGAGTCAAGAGCTGAGGTGAATGAATGTATATGCTTGCTTTCTGCTCAGCTGACTTCCCCTCTACTCACACAACTCAGAACCCAAACCTATGGAACGATGGCGCCCACGTTTAGCCTGGGTTTTCCCATGTCAGTTAACATGATCGTGATAGTCTCCCACAGAAAGCCCTCACCAAGACTCTTCCCAGTCTATTCTGGATGGAGACAATCATGCTCACTTTCCTAACTCCACTAACAGTGATCCTCTAAGAGTAAATCTCATCTTTCCTTCAACAGAAGGTAGACCTAATATTTTCCTTCATGTCCCTCCTCTAAAAACTTTACAAATGAACCATTAGGATACCTCCACCATCTGTCATTTCTTGGGTAGCTTGTTGGTGGGGTCTGTTTATTCATGGATCTCTGGACTAGAAGAAATGATTAAGAAAGATTAATGACTCACAGACCATGTAACTTGTAATTCAAGACAAATAGTGTTCAGAGAGGCAGGAAAAAGCAGAGCCTAATCACAGAACTTCATTAGAGCAAAGAACTGTATAATCTGCAGGCTACTTCCTGTGCCATGAGATGCTGATGCCTGAAGGGACCAGCATACGGAAGGAGCAAGTCAATATTCTATGGCCCAGACACACCCCGTCAGTAAACATCGCTTCTCCCCAAGAGCCCCTTGCCCTTAGCCAACACCAGCTTTTAACCCACATGGGGTGTGGCCCACCCACTAGTAGGTAAGAAGTCATCGGACTTGATGTCTCCTTCTCTGATTTGCAGTATAGTTTAACAGAGATCTAACCACAAGTTCAAAGTCTGTTGGCTACTGGCCAGCAGACTTCACCTTCCAGAGTGCTTGGCTTCAGTTTTAGAAAACATGTTTCTTATCTTGCTGCTGGGAACCTAAAAGTTTAAAATACAGAGCCCTCAGTATTACAAGACTGGCTTTGTCTTCCCAAGTTACAAAGGAGTTGGGCTCTGTAAGAGTCAGTGGCTGGGTTTTTTTGCTCTTTGGTGGTGAATGATTACTTAGTATATGACTTCTAATTAAGATTTTAATTGAGGATAGCACCACATTTTTACTTTTTTAGTAAAAGTATCTGCTTCTTAAGGTCAATTGTAATTTTTTTTATGATTTTAAAGATAATTTTCTGTATGTTTGGCTTTTCTGGGCATCTGGGTTTAAGGGATCTGCAGACTTAGCCCTAACAGGAGATCCAGCTGTTTGCCATAAGGCTGCTATGCCACACACCCCTGTGGAGACAAGAAGGCTTTTCTTCTCAGGTGAGAGAATCTATGAGTAAATAACTCTACTATTAAGTACGAAAGGATGTGTGTGGGTCTCAGTAGTCTGGTAAGAGTGCCATTAACAATCTTCTGTGGAAGAGGCTTTCATGACATGAAGAGAAAATAGAAAGTCATTGTTCTTCCAGGCATCAATAAACACAGACACACACACACACACACACACACACGTACAGAGGCTATAGGCACACACCTAGACAATCTTAATGTAATACTCTTCTTTATTTTATTATGTTATTTGTTTTCTTTACATTTTTTCTTTTTTAAAAAATAACTTATTTATTTACTTACATCATAATTCTCTTCTCTTCTCACTTCATAGTTACGTCAGTAGCCAAGATGACTTGACACATGATGTCAAGAACTGCCATAAAAGTTCCTGAACTTCATGTGGATAAATTTTGAATTGTATTCACTTTAAAACCGTGTGTGTGTGTGTGTGTGTGTGTGTGAGAGAGAGAGAGAGAGAGAGAGAGAGACAGACAGAGAGACAGAGACATAGAGAGAGAGACAGAGACAGATATATATATGGAGAGAGAGAGAGAGATGGAGAGACAGAAACAGAGAGACAGAGAGAGAGAGAGAGAGACAGAGACAGAGACAGAGAGACAGAGACAGAGAGAGGAACAGAGGCCAACCTCAAGAATCCTTCCTCTTTGGGCACTATACTCCTTGGTTTTGAAAAAGGGTCTCTCACTGGCCAGGAGGTTACCAATTAGCCTAGGCTGTCTAGCCAGCAAGCCCTAGGGATCCATCTGTCTACTTTCCTAGTTCTGAGATTCCAAGCGTGCACTGAGCCTAGATGTACTTTATTTTTCCTTCATGCGAGCTTAGGGCACTGAACATAGGTCCCACATGTACCAAATACTTTACTGAGAGAGCCATTCCCACTTTCCTCTTTATGTGACTCTCACTTCACAGTGTATGTGTGTGTGTGTGTGTGTATGTGTTTTACAGTTAGAAATAACCATACAAAGAAGAAGACTGCAGCACTCATTTGATATTTACATGTGTACATCTTCTTCATTTTATACTCTATCTTTCTGTGTGAGCTGTGATCAACTTTTCAAAATGCTGACACAATCTGCCTGCCTTTTATTCTAGAAGCAGAAGCTGTGATAACCCCAGGCATTCTGTAGGCACAGTCACACTGCTTTTCACAGTGAGTCCCTCCAATTGTTACTGACTTGATAAGGGGTCTCTTCCTATATGTCATAGACAGAACAGTTTGGAAGCTGCTTCTCAGCTTTTATGAGTCATGCAATGATTCACATTCCCAGCTCTAGTTTTCCTCACATCAATAAAAAAATGTAAAGTAATTTACTCAGGGCCTGGGCCCATGGCTCAGGGAATGGTATGTAAGCTTGGAGACTGGACTTTGGGTCCTCAGTGCGCACGTAAATGCAGTTGCTTGTAATCCTATTACTCGGAAGGCAGAGACTGGGATCCCTGGATCAACCTGGCTAGTTAGACTCACAGAATCAGGGAGACACCCTGCCTCAGTAAATGCAGCAGAGAGTGATGGAGTAAGACGTTTTATGCTGCCCTCTGGCATACACATGCACACACACACACACATACATACATGTGCACACACACAGGCATGCATGCACACTCAGTTAAGATGAGCCACCAGCAAGCTTTACAAAGGACCCCAGACAAAGTGTTCTCTTAAGAGCCCACAATGGTTCTCTGGATCCATGTGTAAATTGACTTCGTAATAACACTTGGGCTTGCATCCAACAAGGCAATGGTAAATACTGATCAAGAATCAGCAAGATAAAATGAGTTCTGTAGGAAGCTCTGCTCTACCGTGTTGATCCTGGTGCTGAAACCCAGACTAGATTTTTAGATGTAAACCTGTAGCAGAATACTTATTTTGCTACATTGTATTCACAGTGGAGCTCAGTGATTAGGCAGTAGAAGAGGGGGTGGAGATAGGAGAGACAGAGAGGAAGGGGAGGAGAGAAAAAGAGGAAGGGGAGGGGAGAAATAGAGGAAGGGGAAGAGAAGAGGGAGGCTTTCAGCCATGGAGAACCATGAATGGGTCGAAAGCTGTCTTGGGTAACAACTTCTATCAAAAGGTTAGATATTGGGTAACAACTCTAATTATGTGGGCATCTTGTTGATTGAGCATTTCTAAATATATAAATCCTTTAGATAATCATTAAGCTTTAAGAGTCTCATTTCTACCGGGAACTGCGAGGATGGCAGATATTGTCTGGAGTTCAGCTGAGCTTTGTGGCTACAGCGTGGGAAATTGGCAGAGCCATCCCCCATGCTGGTGTCTTGTCGGTGCCAGGGCCTGTGCATCTAGCTAGCCAGAGCCCCATCAGAGCTGAGGAGCAGCAGGAACATGGTGGCTGTCCGGGAACAAGCCTGACTGGGCACTGTTTTCTAAATTTCACCCCTTCATGAACCTTTGAATGATGCAAGAGACTGATGACAGTTACTTAATATTTAATAATTTTAGAAAACAGGCTATAAGTGACAACACTAATAAAAGCCACATGCCAAAGCACTCCATACATATCTGATGATAAACAGCACGAGCCTTTTAATACGGTCTCACAAATACATCTCACAACAACCTCAGAGGCGAGCGTTTACAACTCATTTCACAGATGTGGTAACTGAGGCAAGGGGCTAAAGTAAACCACTCAATCCAGGTGGCAAACAGACAGGAGATGAAATCAAGCCTGTGACTCAGATGTCTCGTGTGTTGTCCATCACCTGTCAGTGGACTGGCACTCCACAGAGGTTTCTAGGTCTCCGGAGTCCATTCTGCTTTTCCAAGGCTGAACTTTCTAAACTCTGGCAATGGGCTCTAAAGAAGCCCTCCTGTGCACTTCAGGGTAATGGGAGTGCCTTTCAGATGATGCAAACCTGAATGCAGATGAAGTAGTGGCTGCAAAAAGGGCTCCCTGTGAATGAATCTCAGTTGCCTCCCCTTCCTTAAAGAGTGTCTCTCCCCTTCGTTGGAGGCATGGTATCAATAACAATCAAAAGCAACTTACTACAGCTGATGCATACATAGCACATTTGAAAGAATAAAGAAACTCGCAATTCAAGAGAAATGAGCAAAACAAAATAGCGTGAGTCATCTAACCTAGTCCTTATTGCAGTGATATTAAAACCACCGGCAAAACAAAATAACGAGTTACGGAACTTAGTCGATATTGCAGCAGGTTAAAACCACCAGAGAACTTGAAACTTAGCAGCCTTTCCAGAGGCCTGATGAGGCTCTGAACTTTTGGGAGATGAGATTTTCTTTTTCACCCAGATATTCTAAAGGGTCAAAGATAACTTGTAAACAGTAACTTGGCTCTGTGAATAACTTCTAGAACATACAATGACTAATTCCTCTGTATGTTTATCCTCTGTGGAAGAGAAGGCTTTTTTCTCAAAAGCATTTGAGTGTTTTCTTGAGACAATAAGAATTGACCCCAACTGTAGCTGTCCCTTATCGGAGCCAAAGGTTCTTTGGCACTTTAGTGTCCCAGCTGATGGGACCCAGAGAAAGGTGAGCAGCCAAAGAGCATAGCCTGATGGGGAGGATGGGCCGAGAGCTCCCTGGACTCCAAGGCTGCTCAGTGGAGGAGGAAGGGCAGAGTAGGAGCAAGAAAGCACCTCCTAAGAGAGATCTGAGGAAGGGCATGAAGAATGCAGGAGAAGAAGGTCATGAGGGTTGGGCTAGGAAAAGGAGGCTATGGATAGGTGGGTGGCTAGTGTGTGATCCTAGGAATAGTCTGTAATGGTTAAAACTCTTCAAAATGGGAAGATACTGTTCATGTTCAAAGAGTAGGTTATAGCCAAATGGTCTATAGCCAAATGCCGTCTCTTCAGCTCTTCCCTGGAGAGTGAACCGACCTTCATGAATGAGCAGTAACAGCTTTGCTGTTCACATGTTCTTTCCTGTATCTTAGCGGTGAGTGTGTGTGTTAGAGAGTGTGTGTGTGAATGTGTAAGAGTGTGTGAGTGTATGTATATGAGTGTGTGTGAGTGTGTGAGTGTATGAGTGTGTGAGTGTGTGTGTATGTGTGTGAGAGTGTGTGTGTATGAGTGTGTGTGTATGTATGTGAGAGTGTGTGTGTGAGTGTGTGTGTATGTGTGTGAGTGTGTGTGTGTGTCCTTGAATATTTCTTTCTCCTAAGTAGTTACTCATAGGGAAGAGTCACAGGTAAGAGAGTCAGGGCTAGGTAATGTTGGATTGAGCATTGTCCTTAGCACCATAGGTGATGTAACAAGTACCCTTAGAAGGACTGCATAACCACTGTGATCAGCTAGACAGCATCTTTCAAGTAAATTGCTGAGTTAAAATGTAAAGAAGATAGATGTTTTGAAAATGAATGGGCCACAAAACAATGATAATTAATGTTAACCAGAAAGGGCATATATTGAAGTTTTAAAGGGGAGGTGGGGAAGAGACTCTCCCTAAAGCTGTAGCCTGACTACGATATATGTTTCCCAACAGGGCTACCTTATCTGTCATCAGACTGCAGAGACTTGATGTTGGGGGATACAGGGGTGGGGTACCCTCTCAAAGGAGAAGGGGAGGGAGGGTGGAAGAAGGGACTCTGTGAGGGGAACTGGGGGGCAGCATTTGTGATGTAGGTAGATAGACAGACAGATAGATGGATAGATAGATAGATGATAGATAGATAGATAGATAGATAGATAGATAGATAGATAGATAGATAAGAGAAAGAAAGGGGAGACAGGTAGTTGGCAAAGAAAAGCAGAAGAAGAGAGAGGACTGACATCAGAGGAGGATGTAAGATATCTGTGCCCAGTAAATATTGTCCCATGAGATGGGGACAATATGACCTCTTTACGTAGGTAAAAAGTCAGTCCAGCCATAATCCTTACAGGAAGCGGGTGGGACATAACTTACCATAAACAAACAAGATGACACTGGAAGATCCTGGTCACCTGACAGGAAGTAATTGCATTTAGTCAGTGTTGCTCCCAAGTTCTTAAGAAGAGAAGAATACTGTGATGGAAACGGTGTATACGGAAAGCAGTCTCTGATGATAATTTATGCTTCTCCCTACATTGGAGACATTGAACCCAAAGGCCAAGAGAGACAATGCCTCTCATCCTCCCTTTCTTTTTTGTGACCTCATTTTCATACAACCAATTCCATATTGAGGAGAAAATGACCAAGGCCAAGGCTTGGGGTCTGAACTTCCATTTCCCTGGGCTACTATTTTCCCTTGCTAGTCTAACAATTTGATCTTTCCCTTCTTAACGTCTTTTGTGTCTCTGCTTGTATATGTTGTCTGGGGCGAGTCACATTACACCCTAGCTATCAGGTTCTTCCCTGTAACACAGGGAAGTGCAATCTTGACTATCGCCAACAATGCCACTCAAATTTAGGATCTATGAAACAACATCAAGTGTATAAAACAATCCTCGATACTTTTCTCCATGGATGAAGTAAACCCCAAGGGTCCCATGAAGGAGAGCACAGGGAACCCAGAAGGCTTGAAGCTATCTTGAAGCTATCTCCTGTGTGAGTCACTACCTCAGGTAGATAATTTTTTTGTCTTCATATTTTAACATCTCAGTTAAATGTGTTATAATCTGTGGCACTTTGCACGTATAAGCTTTTACTTTTCTGAGAAACTCATGAAATAGTGATGTGTTATGTAAGTTATCTTTTAACTCCCATACCTGCTGAAGCCAAAGTAGATGTAGATCTCAAACATTCACACTGGGCAAACCAGGAGCTCCCTACAAGACAGATGGCCTCCAGAGTAGCTGCACTGTTTCTTTAACTGTCTCCCCAGACACTCTCCTGTGCTGGGAGGAAGTCCGTTCACATCTGTTCTAGACTCTTCTGAGGCAACTGACTCTTCATAACTATTATTGACTTCATCTAATGCTTCCCAAGTATAGGCAGAAACTTATTTGCAGATTGGACAGTCAATATAGTGAGTCCACATAATTTTTTTTGTTTATTTTCGTTTTGAGACAGAGTACTCCAAAGTAGCTCATGCTGGGTTTAGACTCAGGATCTACTTGCCTCTGCCTGCTAGGATGGGTAGTGCGCCACTGTGCCCCATTTTAAACTTCTCATTTATGGTGAAAAGTAAGAAATTGAGAGGTTTCCTCCTCTTCTTCCCCCTCCTCCTCCTTCTTATGTTCATCCTCCTCTTTCCCCGAATCATCTCCTTCTTCTCCTCCTTCTGTACTTCTCCTCCTCCCCTCCTCCTTCCCCTTCTCATGCTCATCTTCCTCCTCCCCCAATTATTCTCTTCCTCCATCTTTTTTCCCTTCTTCTCTTCCATGCTCCATCTCCTGCCCCTCTTCCCCTTCTTCTTCTCCCTCCTCCCCCTCCTCCCCCTCCTCCCCCTCTTCTCTTCCTCCCCTTCCTCCTCATTCTAGCCTTTCCTTTCTCTTTAGTGCTGGAAATTGAACCCAGGGCCTTGAACATGCTAAGCAAACATCCTACTCCAGATTATATTCCCACCACACACTACACTACTTTAACAAATAAAGCAAACACAGTCAAAACTCCAAAATCTCAGAGCATATCAAACATGGTGAACATATAATTTTGAGACTTTTTGGCAGTATTTACACATATATGTGCATGTATGCACGTATGCACTTGCACATTGTAGTCCTGGTTCATGCTTTAAAATGAGTTTCTATTGCACCATGTGGTAAGTTTCTTAGCCATTCCAGCTGTTCCAGACTCCGTATCAGAGCTGTAGCTATTCCAACAGCTTGGTGCTTTGGAGCGGCCATGCAGAGGGCTGCTGAATCCTGAGCAATGGCTGTGGCCCTCGGAGCGGTGTGCCCATTGCCTTACAAGCAAAGTAAGTGGTGTAGTTTAACAGTGGTAACCTCAAAAGCCCAAAGTGTAAGTAGGCAGAATCCAGATATGTTTGAGTACTGAAATGACATCACAAATGGAAAATTTCATAGTTAACCTGATAGGTCTCAGGCAAAACAGACATGCTAAGAATATTGTACAAAATACTCTTAGACACTCCAGGTCTAGGTGCATATGCAATATATCACATATTTTGTACTTAGACTCGGGCTCCATCCCTAAGATATCTTGTTACACATAGGCAAATATTTTAAAAAAAATCAAAATGTGTCTACTGCAAAGCATCTTGTTTACAGGATGCTCAGCCACTACCCTAGGTGGGCTTGAAATATCCTACTCCAAAATAAACCTTTGGTGGATTTATTTATTTCCTTAATAAGCTGTCTCTACTACAAGCCAAGTCCAAGAACTTTTCCATGTGATGGTCCCCTGACTAGTTTACTGAATTAGGAAATTGATGGTAATTTACATCAAAAAATTCCAGTTGACCTTCTGATAGTCGGTGACAGCAGTTTGTAAGGAAAACTCCCAGGGAAGTTCTGCTTTCAAATCTGGACCTGAATGCTCGACACAGACAGAGCATTCACTTAAGAAAGGTCTCATGTGAGGAAGTGCACATTGCTAAATACCTTTCCTCCCACGTGACTCAGAACAGTAAAGAGCCAGAGCCCTGTGTCGGCATGCAGGTTCACTTAGGGTTTCCTATATGGTCTGGAGTTTCTGCTTTTGCTTCTATTTCAAGCATCCTTCCTCTACGTCAGAGAAAGGGGGTTCCTACAAAGGAGGAAACAAAACTCGCTATTGTGATCATGAAAGTGAGAAGGAACTCACCCTCTGTACTTGCTGGATATTAGAGTCAGAGCCCGTGTCCTGGCTTCTTACAGCCCCTAGCTCTTCATCCCAGCACTTTATGCTTTCTTTCAGAGTCCAGTCAGAGGTAACAGCCTATCAGATTCTCAGAGATGTTTTTCTTATAACCTTTAACCATTTCATATTTTCAGTGGAGGAATTGATGTCTAGAGAAAGTAATCAAAAAGCCTATTACCCATAAACCCAAGTTGTCCAACATGTCCCACCATCTAGGTTAGCTTAGCCTACTACACTTAGGGTCTTTCTCAAGAATATCTAGAATTTGCAAAAGCTGCAATGCTCAGGGATTTTAAATCTGCAACTGGGTTTCCAAACCTAACTTTGTTTTTCCTCTTGACAGAAATTTATAGTGGATAATGACACTACTAAATTCTTTTAAATTTGGTAAGTAATATAATCTGACTTCAAATTCCTTGTTGTGTGTCTCATGAAGCTCAGAAGCAGGGGGAGGTAAAAGATTGTTATTTTTCTCGATATATTTGTGAAGATTCTTGTAGACTAGATTTCCCTCTTCTTGGGCATTCAATACGTAGTAAATTTCTCACTTTCTTTGGGCACTGAAAGATAACACCTTTGTCTGTTAGGAAAGATTATGAAATACTACACCTGGTTCAGTGGAGTCGCCATTCTCCCAAAGGGAGATTAAGAAGTCTATTCATTTTATTTTATTTAAATTGGGGAATATGGGTAATCGATACAAAGAGTAGCCTTTTAAAAGAATCACTAATTTAATCGAGAAAGGAAGATAGTTTTCCTTTTACACAAGTAGAAAAAGAGAAAAAAACCTTGACGTCTGAGTGAGCAAAACACTGTCAGCTGTCCTTGATTAGTATTTTCACTGAGTTTGCTGTCAAGACAATTTCCATCCAAATGAAATCTATTTTCCAGTTCATATCTTGGTGAAATATGTTTTGCTAGAAAAATAAATTTATCTTGAACAGTGTGGTTAAAACCAGCAAAATGTTAAGGAAAAGTGGTTTTTTTAAAACACTCTAATAAGAGAACTATTTGTTTGAAATACATACATTCATAAAAAATAAGTAAAAAATAGAAATATATTGATGTGTATAGTGACCAACAAATGTGTACCTTAGTGTCCATTTAATTCATTCACTGTGTTATACAACAACTGAACTATAGAGACTGGATAAAGAAGGCTAGAGATGTTTAGGGCACATTAAGTAGAGACTTTACAAGATTCTCTAGACAATGAAATACTGGTATTTCTTAACTAGTGTGTCATAAGAGAAGTTATACAAGTCATATGGGGTTTCAAAACATCATAATATTAATAATAGGACTCCTTGGTGGGTTTTTTGAGATTACTTTTGGTTTGTTTTCTTTATTTTAAAAAATTTTGTAAAATAGGTGGGGCAGAGTGTCTTATGTCTTTATTCCTGGCACTTGGGAGGTAGAGGTGAGAAGTTCCTAAGTTCAAGGCCAGCTACTGAGGTAATTACTATATTTTTTTAAGATGTATAAAATAAACATTGTTGTGATGTGAATGTGCTTGGCCCAGGAAGTGACACTATTTGTTGGAATAGGTGTGGCCTTTTTGGAATAGATGTGTCACTGTGGACTTTAAGACCCTCATCCTAGCTCCCTGGAAGCCAGTCTTCTCCTGTCTGCCTTCAGATGAAGGTGTAGAACTCTCAGCTCCTCCTGCACCATGCCTGCGTGGATGCTGCCACGTTCCTGCCCTTGATGATAATGGACTGAACCTCTGGAGCTGCAAGTCAGCCCCAGTTACATGTTGTCTATGAGTTGCCTTGGTCATGGTGTCTGTTCACAGCAGTAAACCTCTAAGACAGTAAAATTCTGTCATAGCAGAATGAAATACTGTTCACAGCAGTAAAATTCTAATAAATTAGAATATTTTTTAAAGTAATAAATGTGTCTTGATATGGGAGGAAGAGTCTACCCTTCTTTTCAGTAACTATTTTTGCTACCATTTGTGTTGATGAAGTCACAATTGCCCAGGATTTCCTCAATTTATACTGAAAGCATTTCATTATTTCTGAATGCACCCAGGCATGTTAGTTAACAAGATCATAGATAAGGATATAAATAAAACAAAATCAGTTCTCAGCATCCCATGACCCTGCAACAGAACAGGCTCTGAGTCAGTACAAGAGAAAGATGGACACTTGAACTTCGGCCATCATGGCTGTCAGCCTGGACACCCAAACTCCAGCCTTCATGGCTATCACTCTGGGTTTCAGTGTGTTAACTAAGGATGTAAGCTTGTTCACATGTGTGTGCACTTCCTCTGTCACAGAGGTGTGTAAGGCTTTTTCTCTTGAGTCTTACTTTAGGCCTTTCGGCCCCTTTCCTTGCCATGCTTTCAGCAGGTGCCACACCCTTTACATCCTCCTCTGATAATCTCTGATCCACTAAGGGTTAGTTAGTAAATATCTGTGCATACAAAGTCCTGGGTCCTCAGTAGGACCCAGACTATCACTGCAGATGTGCAGAGGGCAATCTCAGTTTGAACAAGAGCAGACGCTGAGAAGCAAAAGATGGACAAAACTATATAACCCAAGCATATTTTAAAAACAAAAAAAAACCCAAAAAACAAAACAAAGACTGTATTGTGTTATTTAGTGAAAAAATTATTTATATAAAACACTCAAGATACTTCAAAAGACAAGCTGTTAGCCATATTAAATGAATTACACAAGAAGTTTTAGGGTAAGTTTTTTTCTTTTTTTCTATTTTCTCATCACTTGAGAACAGCTTCTTCTTTTGTAAGTATCAAGCCAGCCATCAGGGCCAATCAGTTAATAATTCCTCTAGAGGATGAGAATATATAGACAGACCGGTAACAGCAACCTGGGACAAGATGGTGACTAAATTGTCCCAACTTTGTTTTCTAGGGATGTTGGTCACAGTATCCACTGTAGGCTAATTAGTGTCTTACTGTAGCAAGTCAGGAAATTACCCCTGAAAGCCAGCTCTGCCTCATGTGACACGCAGGCACTCGCGGTGTGGTACCGGCAGGTCTGTGGTCAGGCATTCTCTGATTACCAGAGTTCAAGCTGAAACACAGAAGTTGGAGTGGGTCCCCATTTAGGAGATTCCAGCAGCATTTACACATTGCTAATACAAAATCCTCAAACTTTCTGTCATCACCGGGTAAACTGCATTTCCTCAAAATTAATTTTAAGAGGATCCTGAAGTCAGAACCCAGCTGGATGTCTTCTGGACTGCAGGTCTCAGCCCTCGCTCCTCTTCCTACCCGCCTCTCTCAAACATCCTGCTCCAGTCTGTCTCCGTGAGTTTCGTTTTTGCTAATGCTAGTCCTGATTTGGTTTGCTCTCAGATTTTCCGTTTCCCCAGTGAGTCTGGAGGTTGTTCTGCGAACTCCCTGCCTCCTACAGCTACTTGGCCACAGTCCGGTGGGTGGGGTGCCGCTTGTCAAGGACTGTCTGGGTCAGAAGTGCCTGGACTGACGCTTGCTCGTTGGAGAGACAGACGTGCTGTCTCCAGCTGCATGGCCATGAGATAAAGCGCTCTTTCAGCGCCGGGTTCTCCTCCTCACTGGATAAGGGAACATAGAAGCTGCTTCATTTCTGCCTCTCTCTCACCCATGAACGTTTTATGCTCTCTGATTTCGGGTTGGAAGATGGAGACAAAAAGTTAAGGACAACTGTCACTGACACCAGCAAACTATCAGAAAAAGGTTTACCCTCATAAGAAGTCTCATCACAGTCAAAATATGCTCGATAGCTCATCAAAGTGGCACCTCCCACTCCATTTCTTAGCTTTACTGAATTTCTGTTGTCAAAATTTCCTTCCCACCTCCCTTGGAACCAAATTCAGCAATCCTTCAGTATCCCAAGGACACGATTTCTCCCCAGTCATATGGCTTTTTGTTTATAGCCCGTTTTCTGTTGTTCCAGTTTCTACTCTTCTCCCCCTTTTCCACTCATCCTCAACATCTGGCTCTTGGAGCCTTTACCAGTTCCAACGCCCCCACGCCCCCACTCTCTTTCCCACATTCTCCCCGTTTACCCTTCTCCGCCCCTACCCTCTTCTGTCTCCTCTCATTTGAATCTTTCCCCTGTTCTTTCTGGCACCCTGCACAGGATCCTGGGCACTTTTGTCCCTCCCATACTGTTTATCTTTCTTTTCTTCCAAAACTAAATCCAGGGAGGAGGGAGGGGAGAGGGCAGTTCCTGCCTATGAGGTTTTTGTCTTTCCACTTTAACAAAAATAATCATTGCCAGTAAGATTGGTTCATACTTACAAAAGATAAATGTTTGCAAAAGGATGGGAAGCGAGACAAAAAGTACTTATTTGGTAAGCCTGGTGTTAAAATCTGAAACTGAATTCAAGAGGAGACTCCTTTTAATTGATAAGGAGTCGGAGCTGGAAAGCTCAGGGTTATTATTCTGAAGGTCTGTGGCCTTCAGTTCTATTGAGAATTTTCACCCAATATTGGGTAGTTTACCACTTATTTGCATGATTTTTTGCTTTTTAAAATGATTACATAATTTCAAGCTGAGCATTGTGGTGCATACCTTTAATCCTAGCACTCTGGATACTGAAGCAGGCTGATTTCTGTGAGTTTGAGCCTGGTCTACATAGTGAATACCAGGCCATCCGGAGCTATTCAGTGAAACCCTGTCTCAGAAGCAAACAAAAACTAACTGAAGTCATTATATAATTTTCATAATAGCCTAGGCCCATTGTAGAAAAACATTAAAATACATAAAGACATAGCATGGAAAGTTATTCTCTAATCTACCCAAATTCTAGATACTTTCTTAGATGTAATCATCCTTATTCATAATGTATCTCTAAATTTATATGCAATGAGTATGTTAATAATGATTATATCTATGTAATCTATGTATCTACAAATATAGAGATATCTTCTTAATTTTTCTTTTTTATATAAATAAGAGGATACTATGCACATAAAGATTTACCATTTAAGCCTAATGGCCTAGGTTTGATCCCCAGGACCTTTGATGGGAAATCTTTTGCTCTTCATATGCATGCCCTAACACATGAGAGTTCATACTTTCACACTCATCTCCCAGACATACACATTCAAGTGCACATATATTCATATGCACAATAATAAAGTTTTAAAATTAAGAAAGACCTTGGACAGTTCTTGTTGATGTCGATATAAATGCCTATATATTAGAAACTAATCTTGGTAAAAATTTTAAAGTATATTAGTTAAATGAATAATTCTATTTTAAGTGAACAAAAACATTTTATGAAAATTAAAATTAACCATATTTTCAAAGATCCAGTAAAGAAAAATTATATTACTTTATAAAATTTATATATCTGTTTGATTTTTGGCCTAATTAAAAACACTAGGGATCTCATATTTGCTTCTGCATTCAATTTGTTATAAAATATCGTTTTAGTTAAATTATGCAAAGGAGATCTGGTCAGATACAGATCTGTCTGTGGTAAAGTGAAGGGTGTTGCCATAAAGCATCAGGATGTGGTGACGCACGCCTTTAACCCCAGCACTCGGGAGGCAGAGGCAGGAGGATCTCTGAGTTCTAGGCCAGCCTGGTCTACAGAGTGAGTTCCAGGACAGCCAACACTACACAGAAAAACCCTGATTGGAAAAAAATAAAAAAACTCAAACTGATAGTTTGAATAGGTTTGGCCCACATAGACTCAAGTGTTTGAATGCTTGGC